CGGGCTCTTTTCGAGTGTTTTCCGTCACCCTGGCCTTCGCTCATGATGGGCAAATTCGCATCACCTAGCCCGTGGCCATTTTACCTGCTGAAGGCATGTTCACGTCAGCCTGCCCTCGACCCAAATTTTTTCATGACGGACAGTAACATCATCAGGATCATAGGGGTTAATACTCATTTTTTTTTACGCCCCCTCACCCCATTTTCCCCTCCCAATTATCCCACTACCCCCCTATTTTAGACATTCCCCTGAAGTCAAAAGTATACAAATCAATAATTATTCATGTCAATACTAAATAATATATGATTCTGTATAAATAAATGAATAAACCAAATTATAAATAAAAGGGATGTTTAGAACATCTATATTCTTTCTGAACAATGATAGAGATGAAAAATAGGATATAAAATTGGGAACCTTTTTACAATATAATAAACATAATAGTCAAAATCGTTTCTTATGGCCACAGATGAATTTAATAGTATACCAATCATACCAAATTTGGAAGCTTATGACTTTCAAAGAAGCTGGACATTAATAGAAGGCCAACAATGTAGATGATATAAACCTGATTTAGAAAGCCATTATGAATTACGGATAAAGATAATTAAGAAAATATATCTGATGTTCAAAATATTATTTTCAACTAATCTATAGTATACATAGCACCTTACATCTGCAGAAGAAATTGACAGTACTATTGCAGAACCAAGAATGAATTATATTACTTTAAAGACCCAAATAGATAAAAAAAAAAAAAAAAAAAAAAAAAAAAAAAAAAAAAAAAAATATTATATATATATATATATATATATATATAATATAATATTATATATATAATATATATATATATATATATATATATAATATATATATATATATATTATAAATAATAATATATTATATATAATATATATATATATATATATATATATATTAATATATTATATATATATAATATATATAATTATATATATATATAATATATAATATATATATATATATATATATATATATATATAATATATTATATATAATATACACTCAAAAACTTCATTGAAACAAATGAAAGAAAATAAAATCTGTTATATTTCAGTGCTAATTAATGCATAAAAAATATTTTACCAATTAGTAGAACAGGACTCTCTGCCATCTGAGCATTCTTTACAGCCGTAACAGTATTGGTGAGTCCAGGGCCAGCAGTAACAGCTGCTACGCCAACTGTGCCAGACATGCGGGCAACAGCATCAGCAGCAAAGACCGTTGAAACCTGTAAGGGAAAGCATCAAAATATATATAACTTTCCAATGTACCATATTCACAAGGTTAATGAAAAAATTTTACATTAACTTTTCCTAAATATTTGCTTCACTATCTTTAATGGCATGACTCGCCTTACCTCATGACGTGTGTCAACAATGCGTATTCCAAGCTTTTCTGATGCAACGAGAATGGGCGAGATGTGCCCACCAGGTAAAGTAAAGATGTAGCTACTCCATGAGATTTTAAAACTTCTGCCACAAGTTCGCCTCCATGCGTTATCTCCTTATCAACCTAAAGCAAAAAAATTACTTGATGATAAACACTTCATACTGAAAATTAAAAACAGGGATATTTAAAGTAGAAGAGGTCAAAATCCATTGGTTTAAGATTTATGCACTATTAATTCATTTGCATAAATTTTCTCTGAACATAAGAAATTTCCACAAAGCAATGATTTACAAGTCTTAAAAATATTTTGCACCTTATCTAGACATCTTAATACCAAAAGGCTGCACACCTTCCATATTAAACTGCTCTGGTATAGATATAGAGCAATTTTTACTAATATTCCTCTGGGAAAAGGAAAACTCATTCTATTATCATATTATATATAATTATAATTATTATGAATCATAGTAGACTAAAGTGATTAATTTATGTGCTGATGCCCCATTTCTGCATGAGATCTTACAATAGCATGTCCTGTCAGGGTTAAAACAATGAAAAATCATTCTAAAACTGAAAGCCGGCCCTCATCCATCAACTAACCTTGTGCGTCCAGATGAAGGGAGGTGGAAGTAAGAGAGTACCGCACCTATGCCAAACCCTATCACAGCCGTAGATGTGAAAAGGGTTATGTAGGCTACCATCTGGTCATCCATCTTGACTCTTGTCCAAGCAGTAAAGTAATCACTCATGCTGAAAGAATATAAGACATAAGCACGAAGCAGAAAAATCAATAATACTGGATACTGTTTGTACATAACATGTAGATTAATTTATATTCATGATTTTTTTTAGGTTACACTATTCATTTGCATTTATCTTCTAATTAATGTACTAATGCTCGATAAAAATAAGAAGTGATTATTTCAATGTCGGTAAAAAAAAAAAAAAAAATCTACAGCAACAAAAACTAAACTTCAATGATATCTTATTGATGTCTATATCAAATCATAAGTAAGAAAAAGAAAAAAGAAAATATAGATAAAAAAGAAAAAAAATACACACACATATATGAATATATATATATATATGTATATATACAGGCTATATGTTAAATAAAAATACTCCTTTATCTCTGAACACATGCACCAAGCAATTACTGATGTTTTAGGTCAGAAAAAAAAAAAAAATCATTATTTGACTACAAGCAGAAAGAAGATAGAATAAATGCCAAAATTATTAGGAAATCACACCACAATCCAAACTGTTAGTTCATATTAATGGGGCTGCTACTCAATACTTTCGTGAGTAAGTTCCACCTGTTCTAGTAGTAGTCCAAGAAATCCCAAAGGAATAAAACTTTACTCTCACATAACAAATATCATACAGAAAAGCCATGACAAAACATTTTTTTAAAATTATATCTATATAAACATCCCCATCTCTGTTCTACAAACCAAAGACATGTAGTCTCTCCTGTGGATCAAGAACCAGGGACCTCCCCATGCTGATTGAAAGTTCACTGAGATAAGATATGTTTTATTTTTATCTGGCTTCTCCCAAGTCTAGATAATGGCTAACCATTCATTAATGCTTATACAGATAAGGCTCCTTACCATAAAGAAAGTAATCATGGTAAAGAACATGCACATTATTTGGGCATGGTCATTAAGATGAGAATAATTTCTCAATAACGCATTTTTTTTGGTCCTTCCATATTCAGATAAAGCAAAAATATTTACTGCCATTCCTGCTTAACATAATATCTTTTCAAAACCAATGCTTTCCCATAATCTATATGTACAAATGATCTTAATAAGCTAAAGAAAAAAAGAAGAAAGCATTCAGAAGATAGCCATAGGGTCTTTCTAAATGAGACTTTTCCCTCTTACTTGCATTAGTTAAGTTCTATCCAAATGATGGTTGATAAACAATCTGAGGTCCAACAAGTATTTGCTGTAGCCTCCACACAATGGCAAAGGCCAAAAATACTTCACCATTTACTGGTATAGATTCTCACAATACAGTTTCACCTGGTTTCATTAATCTCCTGGGATTCTACAAGCTCAATCTCGCCTGAATATAAGTGATGAAGGTTTACTGGAATGCAAACAGCCATGGGCATTTAGGGACAAACACTCAAATTCTTTTTGGGGAGGTGTAAGAATAGTGTGGACCAAGTATGAAGACATATTTTTTGGACCGACTAATTGCATAACAAATTTACATGATCTTTATAACCTTAAAGAACAAAATAGCTTGTTCTCAATGGAACAAGTTTTTTATCCTGACCATAAAAAATAACAGCACAGACCTTTGAATATGAAAGGGATGGGACTCCGCTTACCCTCCTGTCAACATGACACATCCCATACAGACTTTTTAACCAAAATCAAATGATTTTCTTTTTAATTCAATATTTTTCCCCTACATTAATAAATTTTTCCCCTTAAGTACCAAATATTCCAAATTTTCGTGTTCAAAATGAGGACCAGTTGCTAATCAGAACAACATCGGGAAATCAACATGGACTGACTTTTCTCTAGATGTAAAAATTTTGGATAGACAAAAATTATTTGTGAGGTATCATCACCACACACAAACCCTAATTTGCTGATTAGTATGAGGTTAGCAGTGGGTATCTTCAAAATACTTATCAAAACAGAGAGAATAAATAAAATGAAAATAGTAACCTATTTCTAATCTATTATATTATTATTATTATTCATCTACTACAATCACTTGATGTTAGGACACAAATACAGGTACAATAAAACAATCTTTTCAAATTTACATCTCAGTTGATGGCGTGATCTATTCTTGTTTAACCTGATGAATGCCTTTCTGGAAAGATAATGCTTGCAATGATAGGGAACATTATCGAAATTATAATAGTCATGCATACATGCACCTTATCAGAGTGCCTGGACAAAAGATTTCACCTCTATAACAGAATAAAGTGAATTAGTTCATCATAATAAATTATGAAGAGGTATAAATTACAGATTTAATTAATTCTTTTGACTATGTCTTCAATAAAGATTCAGTGACAGAACTGGCAATGTACACTTCTTACAGTGTTTATGCATGATTTTCATTCATACCTTATACTATTATGATTTTCTATAATTTCTCCTTAATTTAAAAAGTAGACCTTTTAACCATATCTTTGAGGCTTAGTGGCTTCTGGAAAACTGAATCAAAATACTAATACTAATACTAATGTTATGGTAATAGATGAAAAGTATTGATTGTGTTTGTATTGTACAAGGTCCTCGAAGAATAGCAATAACTATCTTTATATCAAGCTATGACTTAAATAGTCAGATACATTCCAAAATCTAAAAAAAAGTTCTAGTTTCATGTTTAGCAACATTTACTTTTCAAGTAACTGAAAAGAATAATAGAAAACTTATTCACAGTGAAAAGTATAAGTTATCAACTATCATTCAACAAGCTCAATTGTAACACACCTATCATTCTGAAGAGCTTGAAGAAACATGAAGGAAAAGGTTTGAAGTTTTCCGAAGTCTAAGGGACTCTGCAGTGACAATTTGAGCAATGAAAGGAATGCATACTCAATAGCTGGTAGGCAAGATGGCTTTTGAAACATAAAAAAAATGCAAAACATGTCAGACTATTGTCATGCTTTTGGTTGCTCTAATCGCAGAAAATACGAAGGAAGCATCACTTACTGCTCAAATCTATATCTGTACAATAGGACATTCCATTACCATGTTACAAGTCAAAAGGTTACTAAGGACTATCAATTATAGAATGCCTTATTTCTAATTCGTACATGAGAGGCCTTTTAAAAAAAGTGTCTCAGATTTCCCCAAGGTAACCATTCCGTACATTCTTTAGCATCAAAGCCTGATTGACATTACTGAAAAAAAAAATAATAATAATAATAATGCCTTTAAAATAGTTTACATTTATGACCCACTTTTTATTCTGATTACCTAATGATTTAATTTAAATATTGATTCATCAACACAAGACTTTTTTGTTCAACAAACATGCGTCCGAAGGTCTTCTCAGCCCTGTTGCCCATAAAAATATCTATTGAAATTTTCGTGAACCTAAACTTTCATCTACAACAATAGCATTAATATATTTATTTACAACAACAATCATGAGATGAGTGTATCAAAATGAAAGTACCAATGCTTATGTGACCGACGAAAGTTTAGATTAACGAAACATTCAATAAACGTATCTCAGGGCAACTGGTCTTAGAATACCTTTGGTAACGCATACCCGTACTTGTACTTGTTCAATATAATTCGACTGGACTATTCATACAAGCATCCACGACTAATCTTGATAGATTTTGGATCTGTGCTTAAGAAAATATTTGTCCTCCGAATACCTTCAGAGCAAAAGCCAACTTCAAATCTACGGAAAAAAAAATACAGGCGGTTGTTAATCGAAACTTTCAAATAGATTAAGAAAACATATCAAATAATAGACAGTTACATAATAAGTGTTTCTTTCCCTGACAATCAATTTTTTTTCTGATTTTCTTAGACCTACATTGCTGAAAATCAACTCCCATCTTAATAATCCCCAAAAATAAAGAACAGCTAAAAAATAAAATAGCCCACTCACTCATACACCGATACCTTAATCCATACCCACTTAGCCATTACCGATAAAACCCCAATTTAGCTCAAAAATCCCCAAAATAAACATTAGTTGGCCATTACCAAGGTCCACAGACGAAGATGAATTCGTGCAGCCAATCCCACTCAGGCTTTTGACAGCGAGAACCACACTCATAAGAAGACTGGAATAACGAGGCAACATGCGATGGCACGAGATAAAGCTATTCGGACCATAATACACCGGTCGCCCTGTCGTCAGGCGGGGTCAAAGGTCAGCCTCTCTGGTCAGCTGATCTGAAGGTCTTGTCCGATTGCTTTCGTTTGGGCTTTGGCTTCGGTTTCAGTTATTCGTTTTTTTCTTTTATTGGACTATATTGCTATGTATTTGGAAAGCTACGAAGTGACTTTGTTTTATATTAAGCTTAGAGGAATTGTGTTCGCTGGAGTCGCGTTAATCATATAAGAAAGAGAAAATCGTTATAAAATTTATCCACACATTAATCTCAAGAGTTCTTTTTTTCAGACTTTAATAACAACCATTCAAACAAAATGAATATTGAACATACATCAACTGTTCAGCAAATGCAGTTATAAAGTATGATATTCAATTATGAATCAATTGATACGTTGCTATGGCGGTTGCTAAGGACGCCTTCCTCGAGAGGTCATACGACACGTATAAAACCCTTATCGGATATAATCGACATTAGTAAGCTTTTAAATCTCCTTGAAACCGGTCTCAGATTAAAGTAATACTCTTAATTAATGTTCTTAATGAATTAATTAATATGGTTTACAGTACTCACTTGGCTCTCGGGCTGTTTTAGGTGTGGGCAGTCTAGGCCTATTCAGTCTACTGGTAGAACCGGCTCCTCCACTATCTCGTTGGGTCATTTTTATTCTCGTCACGGCCGTGTGTGGCGTACATTGTCATTTTTCGGGGTATATGTGTTCATTTTTTTTTTAAGTGACTGTTTTTAATGAAACTTTATCAAATATAGGGGGGGGGATATGTTAATACGTGCGGGTTAAATGTATTTTGTAGGTTTACAGGTTTTAACGATAGTCTGTACTTTTAAGAATTTTCCGTGAATAAATGGCATATGGCATTCCTAATAGATGAATTATACATATCCTACGTAGCCTAACGAAGAGTAAAACTTAGTTACTGTCTTCTCTTTTATAATTATACGTACTGAATGATGTTTCACCATCCCCTCAAAAATGATAATGCATATAATAATAAAATAGGAACTGATTCTACACCATATTAGAATCTTTGCTTGAATTGCATTTAATATCCATTTTTGTGCCATCTTCAGAGCAATATTTGGTTATGCATTACACGAAAAACATTTGTGGAATTCATGGTGAACAGATTGCAACAGGAACAACGAAGGGAAGGGCAAGAAAACACACGAATAGGCATATTCGTGTGTTTTCTTGCCCCTCCCTTCGTTGTTCCTGTTGCACGAAAAACATTAATCAAACCTGTAATGCCACAACAAATGTCACCATAATGAAATGAATGTCGGAATCATTGAACATTTTTCCATGCTTTTCAAATTGATTCCATAAGACCTCAAGGAAATCATAGCACTCGTTTTCTCAATGGCTATTAGACTGGCTGGGAACTCATTGTCATCTGAAATGTTTATTGTGACTGTAAATCCGAGACAATTATCCTGTACAGTACCTGATGCTAGTTGAAAGTCACCAGTCATTAATATATATATATATATATATATATATATTATATATATATATATATATATATATTCCCTCTCATACATATTATTAACAGGTTCATATTCTCCATAAGGGCATATGGTTGAATGTTCCTCGAGATGGTAGGTGGGGATCATAGTACAGTATATTTCACCCATGAGAATAGATTATTTTAAGCATGATTATTTTTCACAGGGTATTGAACACAGAATCATCCAGGGGCGTAGCAAGACATAGCGGGGCCCTGAGGGTTAGATCCTTCGAGGGGCACACCGAATTTAAGAAATATACGGAGGCTCATATGGAGCCCTCTCACCGGTGACCTAGCAAGCAAACCAACTATAATAAGGCAATGGATAGCACCCGCAGCTGCCTCCTTGAAACAAATTACTGCTGTATCTAATAACTGCTTTAATCACAAACATACACACTCAAGGTTTGTATCTTAAAGTTTTATAAACCTTCATGCTCTGATATATTGTATATTTCAAATCGTATCCCTTGCCCACGCCCCGTCAAAACTCCTTGCCCTCTTCTGCCCCATAACACAACATATATCAGATATGCCATTGCAGAAACTTTGCCGAAGGACCATGCTGTTAAAGATGATTTAACATACATTTCTGCCTCTGTTACCCTTTTTGCTTGAAGTCCAGACCACATTGGGCATTAAAGCGAGCGACGTGTTGCGAGAACCAGATTTTCGAATTGCGCCAGACCGTTGCCAAAGGAGCAACTCCATTCTGACTGACGTTGGCCTATAGACATACAAGTATTGGACAAACAAAAAGATATTCGATACTTTCTTTGGAAGATCCCATCAAACAAAACTTTCACCATATTATTCTTTTTTAGACCAAGGATACTGTTGCCCACAAAAAATATGCAGTTTAGGACCATTCAAGATGGATGGATCTCTTTATCGACTGTTTCCATAGCAATGACCAAAAGGTAATGGAGCCTCGCGTCTACACTACCTTTTAGCCATTGCTATGGAAACAGTCAATAAAGAGATCTATTCACCTTGAGTGGTCCTGAACTGCATAACATTTTATGGGCAATTGTAGACGGGTTAAAAAGACTAGTATATACTCGCTCAGCAACATCGCAACAGAAAGTGATAAGGACGAGCGATGTGAATACTCAGTGTGGACCCCGGTGTTTACACATCGTAATGCAGGGTCTAGTCCTTTGGCTTAAATATTGCAATCTGCGACTTGAAATCAGTTCTTAAACATGTTGAGATCATTATTATAACTGAACATTGGTTTCTTTATGCGACCGCAACTGATTCCGCAAATTGCAAATAACAGAAACCTGAGTCTGAATCACCCAGTACTTTTCATTAAATGTTTTATAATGTCAGTTACTAATGCCGCTTAACAGCCGTCCAAGTAAAATTAACATATATTTTTAACAGCATTTCTTCAAGGCGTTCTCAGCTCAGTCGTTTCGAATAAGCAGAAAATATTATATTGGGCCTTTCTCACGATTCCCCCCAGGTACCTAAAGGCATCAACCGGTAGATTATGCCAAAATAAACAGAAGGTATACTTTCTGCACATTTATTTTTGCATGCTTCATATACTGACACGACATGCTGTAAAAATGTTCGATAATCATAAAATGCCTTTGGGTTTCATTGCTATAGAAGTAGCAGTCACAATGGATCCATAAGCTGGGGATGAGCTAGAAGTGAGTTGTATCTAAATAAACAGTAAATATACAAACAGCAATAATGAATTACGCTCATATCACGCAAGCAATAACTGATATGTGATTGTTTAAAATTGATATCTCCACATTGGAAGGTAGCAAGAGTCAATGGAGCGTTAAATAATGGCCGTCACGATATAGGGTCATAAACTCGGGCAGGTGTGGAGGCCGAGGTGACAGAATCACTCAAGATTAATGGCAATATCGCCGTGCAGTGATTTCCGCAACAATTTCTATCAAGTATTCATCGAATAAGATTCATTGATAGTCAATTGATATCGGAGAGGTGCAGGTTTTGTGTAATATCACACCAACACATTGTATACTTCTATGAAACTAGTTGCTTTCATGTGGTTTATCAGATCGACTGCAAACAGAACTACCCAAGGAGGCTAAATAAAGAGTAGACCTTTTAATGAGGAAAATGAAGAGGTGTCTATGAAGAACTTGTTGGCAAAAGAAATAGATACAATTTTGCTTATGTGAATGTTCAAGTTTCACTACTGCAGTATGTTATTAATCATAATCATTTAGACTAGTCTTTTAGTGTGGTCCTTGACTTTATTAAAAGTAGTGAAATAAGAGTACCAGTGTTTAATATTTATTTCAAAAATCTTGATAACAAAGACACTTATTTTGATAACATATTGTTGTTGCTATTATTTTCATTTTCATTATCAATTATTACCATCATCATTAATACTTTTTTTTATAATTGTTATTATCATTAGTTTCTTAATTCCTAACATGTATGAATGAATTTTTGTTATTATTCTGAGTAAAACAATTTTAATTAATATCTCCTTAGAATGGATTAATTTGTTTATTGTAGCTAACATTGAGGTTTCTATTACTCTCATAAAATGGATATAATTCAAGGTGAACCTATGATTTAAATGGAAATTGATACTGTACTATAAAAAGATAAGAAATTCCGTAAGGTATGGAATAAGAGCAGAGGATGATTCTAGGCTCTGTAGAATATATATATATGTAACAAGCATTATTCTTTTTGGTGTACTGAAATGGACTTATTGTCTTGCTTTGACGAAGTTCAGTTTTAGTGTAGTGAAACGCTGATATGATAGTTCAGTAGAATCATTTATACTGTTTCTTTTGTCTGAAATTATTCAAGTTATATATTTGTTGTGTTGAAATTTGATTAGGTTATATCAGATTTTTATATTAAGATAAAAAATGTCCTTTTTTCTAATATAAAATTCATGATAGTCATACTATTAAAAAAAATGTACATTCATTTTCAAATTTACATGAGCATGCATTTATTCCTAATTGGCCCTTATAGAATTTCACTGTTACAGAAGTAGAGCTTAATTCTGCGACACCATCACAAGACCACCATAAGATCCGAGCTTTAGAACTTAAGAGATATGACCATTTTCATGTGATCTTCCAACATGATTGTGAAAGAATGAGGACAATGGAAGCCTATGGAAGAAGATATTGCAACCTGGATCATCATTTTAGAAAGTGTCACGGTAAATTACAGGAAAGTATGTGCTAGACAATGAAAGAGTAATGAGTTATCAAAAGAAAATATCTAGAATGAACATGTTTAGAAGTCCTGCTGAGCTAGACCAAGAGGAATTGAATTGGGAAATAGAAAAGGAATTTGGAAGGTTGTATTTCATTTTGATGTGAGATATTATTATTGTAGATTTTATAAATATAGTTTATTCCTGTTTTTAAATACACTCTAAACAAAGATGCTTTCTTTTTTAAAAATTAACCTGTTATAAAATACTCATGTCCCATTTTCCCCTTATAATATGATAAATATGTAAAAATAAGAGAAAAGTTGTGCTCATTATGCATATCCTTATTTTAGTATGTGACAACACTTAACTGTTTTTATTGC